TTTTTTTTCCATGTGTACAGGGGTAACGCATTGTACTAAATATGTAAGGTCATATCTACTTGGGTTTGATTACAGAAACTAAGAAAGTATTCTCTAAATAATGAAAAAAGAATACGATAAGACTACAAGAGCAATAAGCAATTTAAATATGCTCAGGGACCATTTTCATCTCCAGAATTAAGGATTATTTTAATGTTACATCATTGCCTTTTCTCTTTTGCTTTCTTTTTTAGTTTTATTTTAGGATTCCCTATTTTTAATGTTCATACAGAGGTTTCTTTAACTGAAATACCGAATAGTTTCTCTGGTGTGATAAACTATAATAGTACACAGGATCCTAATGAGATAATTAATAATGTGAAATAGGAAGCAAAGGGCTAAAGGTGTAGGGAAAGTGGGAAGGGTGGGGGAAAGGTAATAAGGGAGAGGAAAAAAATATGAGAAACTGAAAAAATGGAAATAAAGTGTTTGTAAATGGAGAGGGGAGGAGGGGGTGAAGGGAGGGCAGGGACAAGGGGAAAAAATGAGAATCAGACCTATTATGTAAAGGCACAGGATCCCAATGATGAATGTAACTGTATTTTATACCTAGATTGTACCAATAAACTCAATAAAAAGAAACAAAACAAAACAAAGAGGAGCATCAGAGTATCTCCCAATTCACATCATCTTAGGAATTTATTTTTCTGACCCAATGAATCTGGGTTGGCCTAACTGCTTTGACCAGTAGCATATATCAGAAAAGTAATGCAATGCCAATTCAGGGCATGATCCTTAACTGGCCTGGCAGCTTCCAACCCTGGAAGATGCTCACCCTCGGGGCTATGCCCTCTTTAAACCTAACTGCCATGCTGTGAGTTGCCTAAGCCACAGGGAAAGGCTACTTAGAACCTGCAGCTAAGCTCTCAGACAACAGCCAGCTTCTCTGATAGCCAAGTAAACGGGCAATCTTGAACCTCCAGTCATTGAGTCCTAGGTAACTGTAGCCCTGGCTGACACTACCACAACTGCACAGATCCCAGGTGAAAACTGTCCATTGACAGTGTCAACCCACAGAAGAACTACATGCAAGGCCCAGCCAGAGCTCTAGTAAATTCAAGTCATAGGACTATGACGCTTAATAATAAATTGCTGTTTAGATGACTAAACCAACAAAATATATTCTAAGAGTGAAAAACCATTAGAGAACATTTCACACACACAAAATTAGAAATACAGGCAACATCAATACTCAGGCAGAGACAGGCTGGGTAAATCCACTTGGCCACACTTGATTTCTTCTCTCTAGATTACAGGAAGAAAACTATGCTCCATCTATGTCTTTCAGAGTGCTACTGAAGCTAGTTTTCTAAAACCCACAAAAGTACCCAACAATACAAACAATGAAAATAAACTTAATCGCTTAAAAGAGCAATGCTATTAATATGCATAACCACCCAACTGTGGCTTAATTTATCAGAGATCAGGTAGGAGAACAATGTACTGTCAGAGCTTAGGAGGTCACAGGAAAAGGGATCATTAATCACATGACTTATCTGAACATCTGGATACCAGTTCAAAGAGGCTAACTAAGCCCCCTTTCACAGCCAGGTCATTTTTAAAAAATCACATTTGGTCTGCACTGAGGGAATGTCAAAAATAAACAGTTTATTGTGTGTGATACCACTTTAAATATCAAGTAAGTATTTTTTTTGTCTTTCTTCAATATTGAGCATGCAAAATAATTTTTATAAAATGTGTAAGGTATAAAGAGTGATATAACAAATGCCTACACATCCACCAAAAATCCAAAAGAAAGATACTATGATTATTCTGGAATCTCCAGGATGTCCTTCCCTGATCCAACCCCTCTCCAATTTCCACTTGGAGGCTATCATCACCCTGAAATTTATGTTTGTCATTTTTTTTCTAAGAAATTCATTTTTCCATATTTATAATCTTAAAAATACACTGTTTAGGTCTACACATTTGGGAACTTAAAATAGATGAAATTATACTGTTGATGTTCTTCAAATTGCTTTTTCCACCTATGGGAAGCTATGGCCCATTCTTTTTCACTGCTGAATAATTTTGCTGGATTTTTAGAACTGATTTACACTCTGCATGAGTTTTCATGTTTCTCAGACCTGGTCCATAGCCACTGTGGTTCAGCCAATTTTTAACAAGTGGAAAATGTACTTTCAAATCAAGATATATTTGCTTCTCCTTAGACTTCTCAACTCATTCTTACAGGTTGAGCATATCAAATGTGAAAATCTGAAATGCTCCAAAATTCAAAATGTTTCGAGCATCATGTTGATACTCAAAAAGCTTCAGATTTCAGACTGTCAGATCAGGGATCTTCAACTATAAAGTCTATGCAAACATTCCAAAATTTGAAAAACTACAAAATGTGAGACATTTCTGGTCCCAAGCAACCTGAACGGACTAAGACAGACCCACAATGAGCACCTGCTGATTAACAGGAAATCAAGACAGTACCCACCTTAAGGCAGTATAGGAGGAGACCATTAAGTGAACATAAAATGCACAATGAGGCATGGATCGATGCAGCCTGCCCTCTTACTTTATGCATGACTCTGCTCAAACATCATCTCCTCAAAAAATCCTTTCTCGACTACCTTATCTAGCTGCTCCTCTTCTACCATCCTCTGTTATCTGCTCTGCTTTAATTTTTTAGCATAACGTTTATCACTACCTGATGTTGTGCTTGCTGTTCATTGTCACACAGGCTCCATGAAGACAGGGACATTTGCTATATTCATCTCCACATCCTCAGCCCTTAGAAGAGTGCTGGATACAAAGCAGGTGCCATATGGGCATTTTTGAGGGAATGAACAACAAAGATAAGCATGTGATGCTATGTGAGCAGAGAGAAAGGAGGCAAACTTAGTTTGGGCTGGTTCTAGAGTTTGAGCTGAGTCCTGGGCAGCTCTGTGGACTGGGGACTGTACTGTTCTCCACCATGTACCTGCCTCCTTTCTACCTCACTTAGGTTTTCTGAAGTAAAGACTGTTTACACTCATTTTGGGATTCACTGAGGCATTTGGCACAGCAACTTGCATTCAGTTATCCTACAAATATTTAAAGCACCTCCTGTGTGCCTATTATTATAGTGTGTAAAATAATGTTTTCTCTATATTAAACTGCATAGGAAGTCTTGGATTCCATTCAAGTCTCTTTGAAAACAGAGGGCTTTTATTTATTTTCTTTTTGTACCAGGGATTGAACTTGGGTCCTTGTGCTTGCGAGGCACAGAGGGCTTTTATATAAAATAGCTATAGAAATATATTCTTTCTTAAGGTTTTCAACTTCAAAGAAATAGCAGAGCTAATTGTGAGGTTGCTTCCAAAAACCCCATTCTCATCTCTATAGAGGGCAAGAACTCCCTTTTTTAGTTAGTGAAATTTACAACTACAATGATGAAACTTGCAGGTTACTATCTGTGTGGGCACAACTAGTCAATATCCAGGAAAAGCAAAAATAAAAGCTGGAAAAGTCCCAGTATGAATCAAACTTTTCTATTAATACAAACATTCCACATTAATACCAGAATAGTGACACGTAGATAAAAGCTGAAAAAGCTAAGAAATAAGATCTCTTTAGGTATTACTAACTACTAAGGCCTGGGCTTGAAGACATGAGGATGAAACCAACAATTAAATTTCTTCCTGGGCAACAAGGTACTGTACTTCTAGAGGAAAGTCAGTGTTAGTGATACTCAATCCATACTCTCCCTGATGGTAACTATAAGGAGATTAGAAAAATAAGACCAGATATTAGTCAAATCATGCCAAGGTACCATAATGTTTTAAATAAATATGTTAGAGAAAAAGAGAAAATGAAAGTAAAGAGCTCTCAAAATTATTTTAACAAGGTTGCAAGAAAGCAATACCATAACTACAGACAAGCAAACCAGCACAGAAAAGATACCACGAACTAAAGAAAAAAATTTAAAAATGTGTTATTAATTCAGTTATAGACCATCCAAAGACATTCTTTATGGGGAGCAGACACGTCAATAACGGGTATCAGTATGTGTATAAAAACCATAGTGATCGCTGAGAAAAATACCAAACACTCTGTTAGAACAAAACACTTTAGAAGTAACAGCTAATATCACCTTGAGCTATTTTAAGCAAATTCTCAATTGTTCATTAAATTTGATTTATCTTATGTTCTCTTAACAAAACTGATGATTCACTGTATATGACTCTCAGTATATAAAAACCTTGCTGTTTTCTCAAATTAATTAAATCCTATTTCACTTCCTCACTACTCCTGAAGATAGTTCCATTGTACAGGGATTGAACTCAATGCCTTCTCAGTGAACTACATCTGGCCCTTTTTGCTTTTTCTTTTTAATTTTGAAACGTTGTCTATGATGCTAAATTTACCAAGCTGGACTTGAATTTATACTCCCCCTCAGCCTCCCAGGGCTGGGATTACATGTGTGTGCTGCCATGCCTAGCTTTACTACTAGTAAAACAACTTAATGATTTAAGATAGTAGGCACAGAGTTATTGTAAATTTGCTTTTTGTTACATGGTAATAATTTCCTAACAAAAAATGTATTTGGTTTAGTAAAAAAATACTGCTGATTATGGCTGATAGGTTATTATTGTCTCTCTTGTTACAAAGACAGACAATGTCCCATCATTTACCTAAAAGATACACAGAGTCAGTGCCAGTATTTCTCCTGCTCCCAAATTCTGCTTGGCCATGGCTTACAGGGAGTCAGGAGTTACAATTTTGTTTTTTTAATTTCTTTTTGTTTTTTTGAGAGGGTCTCACTCTGTAGTTCAAGCTGGCCCTGAACTCACTATAAAGACAAGGCTAGGTTTGAACTCTTGGCGATCCTACCTCTGCCTCCCGAGTGCTGGGATTACAGGCGTGCACTACCACCACTGGCATAGCAGTTACAATTTTGGATGGCACCAAGCTCCACCAAACTAGCTCTCAATCGTCAGACAGATCTGGCAAAGAGGAGAGATGCTTACCTGGATATCACAGGAGAAGATGACCTCTTAGGAATGCCTCCGGGAACCTCGCATCTTCTCAGTGGGGACCCAAGGCCCCCAGTGGGAACCAAAGTTGTCACTCGTTGCCCCCTCTTCATTTTCTCTGTCTGTAAGGGAAACAGAATAGGGTAGCCACAGCCTATGACTGGTATTACTTCTACAATTTCTAAAAAGTCCCAGATGGAAGTGATGTACACATTTAAGGGGGACCAATGCAAAGGTATAATGCTTCATGTGAAGAGAAAATTTGTAGTGAGACACTATGGGGTCATCACATTTAGATTACCCAGCAAAAACAGTAACAGCTTTCTACCTCAACATGTATGTGTTGCCTTCCTTGTTATATTACTGGAAATTGACAACAGAATTATGTCATGGTTGTGGACATATAGGAACTGGAAAGAGTACAAAGATACATGCTTATTGCAAAAAATTATAGGTGAATAAGAAAATGGTTATAACATCCAAGACAGCGAGCTACAGATTCTGATAGGGGTTATACTGGGTTATAATGGGGCCTGTAACCCACTCATTTCTCTATCAGCAGAAGGGAGAAGGGAATAGACATCAGTTTCTGGCCTACAGATAGTGCTCCAAAAGGATTAGTTCTCTTCTTTCTCTATCATACTTTTCTATAACAAATCTTCATTTGGACTCCACATACAAAAATGTCAGCCCCCTTCCACAATAATCCATCCTACAGCAAAATCCAAGACTTACCAACATCATGTCTCTTTTAAGAATCTTGGGGACACAATGGCTACGAACAGAAAGTGTTACAAAATGCCCAACATGGCTGGAGATATAGCTCAGTGCTGGAGTGCATGCCTAGAATGAGTGAGGCTCTGGGTTTGATTCCTGAGTAGTACAAAAAAAATCCCAGTAGTTTTAACACAGGTCTGCATATTATTTGATATGCCTCTCTTTAAAAGTAGAGTTTAAACCAGGCGTAGTGGCGCATGCCTGTAATCCCAGCACTCGGGAGGCTGAGGCAGGAGGATCGCTGTGAGTTTGAGACCAGCCTGGGCTATATAGTGAGTTCCAGGTCAGTCTCAACTACATAGTGAGACCCTGTCTCAAAAAAACAAAGCAAAACATAAAAAGTAGAGCTTAAATTTCCCTCCATTGAGAGTAGAAGTGACTTGCTTCAGATTAACAGCATGTGGCATAAGAGACAAGTTGGGCATAAAAGGCACTGCAGCTTCCCTCTTGTGTTTACTCTCAGATTGCTTGCCCGGGGAGAAGCCAGCTGCCATGTCATGTGGATACTCAAGCAGATTCACAGAGAGG